ACTGAGAATAGTTAAGTAATTCACAATCAGTCATCATACAATATTACTGTTATTGTGTACCTGATTTTGCTTATTTCATTTTGCATCAGTTCATATAGGTCTTTCCAGATTTTTCTGAGAACATCCTGGTTGTCATTTCTTATAGCACAATAGTGTTCCATCACAATCATATACCACAACTTTTTCAGCCATTCACCAATTGATGGGTATCCCTTAAATTTCCAATTTTTTGTTACCACAAAAAGAGCTACTGTAAATATTTTTGTACAAATGAGTCCTTTTCCCTTTTTAAAAAATCTCTTGGGGATACAGACATAGGCGTGGTATTGCTGGGTCAAAGGGTATGTACAATTTTATAACGGTTTGGGCATAGATCCAAATTGCTCTCCAGAATGGTTGAAGTTCACAACTCCAGTAAGAGCACATAGTGTTTCAGTTTTCCCACATCCCCTCCAACACTTATCATTTTCCTTTTCTGTCAGGTTAGCCAATTTGATACCTCAAAATGAGGGTGGTACCTCAGAATAATTTTAATTTGCATTTCTCTAATCAATAATGATTTAGAACATTTTTTCATATGACTATAGATAGCTTTGATTACTTCATCTGAAAACTGCCTGTTCATATCCTTCGACTATAGATTGGGTAATGACTTATATTCTTATAAATTTGACTCAGTTCTCTATATATTTGAGAAATGAGGCTTTTATTAGAGAGACTTGCTGTAAAATTTTTTTCACAGTTGTGATTACTGTGTATTTCCCTCCATCCTATTCCTCCCCCCCCGTTTATCCTACTCTCTCCTTTCACCCTGTCCATCCTTAAAAGAGTTTTGTTTCTGACTACCACCTCCCCCAATCTTCTTTCCCTTCTATCAGCCCCCACGTCTTTTCTTACCCCCTTTCCCTCCTACTTTCCTGAGGGCAAGAAAGAGTTCCATATCCAACCGAGTGTGTATATTATTCCCTCTTTGAGCCAATTCCAATAAGAGTAAGGTTCAAGTATCCTCCCCGCACCCTGCCATATGTCCCCCAACTTCACCTCTACTGGAAAAGTTCTTTTGTGCCTCTTTTATGTGAGATAATGTACCCCATTCTCCCTTTTCCTTCCCCCTTCTCCCAGTGCATTCTTCTTTCTCACTCTTTAATCTTATTTTTTATGTATCATCCCATCATATTCAACTCACATCTGCGCCCTCTGTCTACATATATTCCTTCTAATTGCCCTAATAATGGGAAAACTCTTAGCAGTTATAAGTATCACCTTCCATGTAGGAATGTAAACAGTTTAATCTTATTGAATCACTTATGATTTCTCTTTTCTGATTACGTTTTTATACTTCTCTTGATTCTTGTATTTGAAAGTCACATTTTCTATTTAGCTGTGGTCTTTTCATCAGGAATGCTTGAAAGTCTTCTATTTCGTTGAATGTCCATTTCCCCCCCTGAAGCATTGTACTCAGTTTTGCTTGATGGGCGATTTTTGGTTTTAATTCTAGCTCCTTTGCCCTCTGGAATGTCCTATTCAAGCCCTCTGATACTTAAATCTTGTGTGTTCCTGATGGTGGCTCCATGACCTTTGAATTATTTCTTTCTGGCTGCTTGCAATATTTTCTTCTAAACCTGGAAGTTCTGGAATTTAGCTATCATATTCCTGGGAGTTTTCATTTTGGGATCTCTTTTAGGAGGTGAGTGGTACATTCTTTAAATTTCTATTTTACCTTCTGGTTCTAGAATATCAGGGCAGTTTTTCTTGATAATTTTTTGAAAGATGATATCTAGGCTTTTTTTTTTTTTTTGATTGTGGCTTTCAGGTAGTCCAATAATTCTTATATTATCTCTCCTCAATCTGTTTTCCAAATCGGTTGTTTTTCTGATGAGATATTTTGTATTTTTTTATGTCTTTTTCACATATTATTTTCACATCTATTTTTTCATTCTTTTTGATGTCTCATGGAGTCATTAGCTTCCACTTGCCCAATTTTAATTCTTAAGGAATTATTTTCTTCAGTGAGCTTTTGTGCCTCCTTTCCCGTTTGGTCAATTCTACTTTTTAAGGTGTTCTCTTCTGGATTTTTGTGCCTCTTTTTACCATTGGGCCTACTCTGTTTTTAAGTTGTTATTTTCTTCAGTATTTTTTGTGCCTTCTTTACCCAGCTATTGACTCTTTTTTCACGATTTTCTTGCATCACTGTCATTTCTTTTCCTGATTTTTCCTCTACCTTTCCTATTTCATTTTAAAAATCCTTTTGGAGTTCTTGCAGGACTTCTTTTTGGGGCTGAGACTAATTAATATTTTTCTTTGAGGCTTTGGATCTAGCACTTTTAACTTTGTTGTCTTCTTCCGAGTTTGTGTTTTGATCTTTCCTGTCACTATAGTAACTTTCTATGGTTAGGTTCTTTTTTATTTTTTGCTCATTTTTTACCCTATTTCTTGACTTTTAACTTTATTTTAAGTTGAGTTCTCCACCTGGGGTGGAGGGGGAACTGTCCCAAGTGTTAGCTTTTTTGTGCAGCTGTTTTCAGAACTAATTCTGAAGATCTGTAAGTTTTTGGTTGTTCCAAGATGTTATACTCTAAGGAGAGGTGTATTACTACTCTCCTGGCCTGTGCTCTGGTCTGTGAGCAACCACATGAACTCTTTTCCTCCATAGAACTTTGACCAGGGTCCCTGCTACCCTATGGCTTGCAAGCTCTGGTATGCTAGTGCTCCTTCTTACCTTGGAACTATGACTCAGTACTCTGACCTGAATCCATGTATAGGCAATGCAACAGAATCCTTTACTTAGTGCCAGCAAAGGGATGCCTGTAAACTCCTGACCAGTTGTCTGACCCCATTACCATCTGTGGACTGAGAGCTGTGGAAGACACTGCAAATTTTGTTGCCCCCCAAGACCTGCTGCTGGCTTGCCTAGGTGGGGCTGCTGCTGTCTTGTTGGGCATTGCCTATGCTGGACTGGTCTCCACTCTCACCCTGGTGTGATAGACCTTTCCTGGCGAACTTTTAGGTTGTCTTGGGCTGGAAAATTGTTTCACTCCATCCTTTTTGGGTTGTGCCACCCCAAAATTCATTTTGAGGCATTATTTTAAAGTTGTTTGGAGGGGAATTTGAGATAACTCAGGCAAGTCCCTGCCTTTTCTCCACCGTCTTGGCTCTGCTTTCTGTCTTTTTTTTCTTAATTCAATTTTATTTTCCCTTCTAAATTTTTCCCTCCCACTCTCCCATCCTCCACCCATTGAGGAGGCAAGATTACCAAAACTCATTGCAAATATGTATATTCCAGCAAAATAAATTTCTGCATTAGTCATGTCCAAAAAAGAAAGAGAAAGAGATGGAGGAGAGAGAGAGACAGAGAGGAAGAAAGTAAGATAGGAAAAGGAAGAAAGAAAAAAAAGAAGAGAAAATAGACTTAAATTTGTACTCTGAGTCCATCAGCTCTCTCTAGAGGTGGATAGCATGTTTCATCATGAGTCCTTCAGAATTGTGGTTGGTCATTATATAGTAACATTTTTTGTGAGTTTAATCAATATATAGTTAAAGGAGGTTTTAAAATAACTACATACTCAAGAAGGAATTAGGCTTAATAATTTGTTCTAGCCATACTAAATTTTGCTTTTGTTCTGTTTCTCCAGGACACACCTGAGTATGGAGCCAGCTGTAGATCCAGCCAGGTGCTTGGTCTACAAGTACCCTAGAGAATAGTTTGTGATGCAGCTTAAAGCTGGCAGGACATTCAACAGGAGTAATAGTTCTAATAGTGAGGGTCCAGAAGTGAAATAAAATTCCTTGCCACCCCCTCTCTTTGGCAAAAGGGCCATTTGTCATAAAGTGACAATTGGCATGAGATAAAGTCAAGAGTGGTGCCCATGACCCAGGAGTACTGGCTGTCAATACAGCAGCATCAGGATCCCAAGGACAAAACAGGCCAATGTGGTCTAAGGTCAAGCAAGAGTCCAAGGAAAAGAGGCTCCAAATAGGTTGGAATTCATATGAGAAGTACCTTTCCAACTTGATGTGATTAACTTGAATGATTGCCAATGTACTTTTGAACCCTAGAGTTTAGAATAGGCCTGCACAGCCTGTGGCCTGCTTGAGGTATGCCAAAGGATCTCAGCAGCCCATGAAAAATGAGAGGAAAACATCCTTTGTATGTAGAGGAAATCCTTTGGCAGGGTTCAGGTTGTGCAGGCCTGGTCTAGAACTAAGTTTGCCTTCCTCCCTTCCCCTGTGATCTTTTGAATATACTTCATCTTTGTACAGCTTCATTTATTTATTTATTAAAGTTTCCCCATTTTTTTTGTTCTTTTTGCAATATTTTATTTTTCCCAATTTCATGTCAAAACAAATTTTAACATTTTTAAAAAATTGTGATTTTAAAATTCTCTTTTTCCTTCCCTCTCCTCTTCCCTCCCTGAGATGATAAGCAATTTGATATAGGTTATACATGTACAATCATGCAAAACATATTTCCATGTTAGTTATGTAGTGAAAGAAAACAGACCAAAAAAAAAAACCACAAAAAAAGAAGTGAAAAATTATAGCTTCTTTTATTGTTAATTATGTTCATATCGCCATCTCTGCCAGTAATATAGTTCAGGTGCTGCCTAGAAAACTAACTGAAAGAGAGGACTCCAGTCAATTTCCCCATGGCTAGGGTATTCCAAATAAGAATAGAGATCTATGCCTGGCTGTGACATTTAGGAATCAGTATTTCTTTAGTCCTAATGTCAAAGATTACACAAAGGTAGCTCAAATAGGAATCATATTTGAGTATTTAGTTTATTTACAGTGTCACTTGTTGTTTGTCTTCCAGGGCACCTGATTAACAAAGCCAGAAGTATTGAACTTAAATTGCAGGAAACTCAGCCCTCCCCCACCCCCCCTCCCCCCCCCCCCAAAAAAAGGGAAAGAGAACACTTTCTGGGAGAAGATGTGTTTATTTTGGGATGAACAAAAAGGAAGAAAGCCTTTTTTGATATTTTTGCTTGGGGATTCACAATTTAAACTGACTTTATTGTACTTAGGTTTTGGGACTGGCTCTAAGGAAGACTTCTCATATAGAACTGACTCAAATAAAGCAACAATAGATTGTTTGAAAACCTTCTTGAAGTTCTCTCCAATAAATAGATAAAATGTGGGAGAAAAGAATGTGTTAAATGAAACAGTAATGGCTGTAAGTATTAGAGTTAGTTTTATGACTAGTGTGTGAGTCTCATTGATAAGTAAACCTTGGTAGACATGGTAGGGCATCCAGCAGACAAAGAAAGAGCTAATAAAGGTCACCATAACCTTAAAGGGTTTGCTAGACTTAACCAGGCCCCTTTGCTTCATCTTCTGGGCTACTCTACCATAACAGAATATAATGGTGAATAAAGGCAGAAGAAAACCCAGCAAGAGGCGGCTAATGAATAAGGTTATGTGGACCCCTTTCCTCAATGCCTGGGTCTCCTGGCTTTTCCAGCTATTGAATAAAGCATAGTTGTTTTTGCAGGTCACTACTCCATTTGTGTCTTTTTGAGTCTCCCGGAATACCAGATAGGGAATGCTGAGGACGGCGGCAAAGATCCAAATCCCGATGAGAGTGATGGAAGCCCAATGATTGTTTCTGTGTTGCTGTGACCATACTGGATGAAGAGTAAGAACATAGCGATCAAGACTGATGGCACACAGAATAAAAACAGAGGCAAACATCCCCAAGGAAAAGGTGCTATTGAAGATTTTGCACATGGCAATCCCAAAACTCCAGTGATTGCCTTGAAGGTAGGAGGTGACCTTGAAAGGCACAATCAGTGCAGAAATAAGATATGAAAGAATGAGATGGAAAAATAAAAGAGTATTGACTGTCTTTTTCATCTTGAATCTTAGCACCCATAGATAAATTCCATTGGCTGTGATACCAAGAATGAATGAGATGGATGAGAGAAGGGCAATCACCAGGTTAGTTACTGAGGGAGGAGCAGGGAAACTGATGTTTCTTCTTAGTGTGGTCATGCTGATCAAGTAATCAGTAGTATTATTCAGATCCATAACTTCCTGTGGCACTGTGGGTACCTGGGATGAAAGGAAGGAAGAAAATGAGAAAAAAGAAACTATATCCAGAGGTGTTCTTAAAACAGAATTGCTGAGAATGGGCTAAATAAGTCAATAAGCATTTATAATGCTTATCGTCAATAAGTGCTTACTTGTACCAGGTACTATGTTAAATACTGAGGATAAAAACATACCACTCTGTGTATATTACAACCATTGTACTCCATTCTTCCCATGGATGCTATGTGTGTTTCTGTGAGGGTTTGCCTTGGACTTATGGGGAGAGTGTTTTGTAACTACTATTCTTGTTATGTGTTTACTAAAAGCCTCACTCTCTCCTCTAGAATCATCGAAATCCAATGGCAGGACAAAGTCAAGATGGCTGGCAATGGTCCAGGATACAGTGGGGTGGCCTTGGCTTTTCTAAATTAAGGTCTTTCCCAGGTGTCAGTTTGTCTGGGATGATGCCCATTCGGTAAGTAAGGGCTAGGTAAGAATTGAGATAAAAGATGGCCTAATTTATTTGGGAGGGGAAGATCCTCATAGTTTCTGACCAGAACAGAAAACATTTGCTATTTATACTCATTCTCAGACTTCAAAACCTAAACAAAGAGCCACAGAACTTGGCCTTGGACCTATTTTTGGCCGTTCAATGAAAGCCAATGAAAGTGATTTGGGTTTAAATGCTAGTCAAGTGGCTCTATTTGAAACACAGTGGGCTTTTTAAAAGCTTGTTTTTTTCAGAACTATATTTCAAGAAATCATAAATGGAAACTGCACAGGGCAAAAAGTAAATTGTCCTGGCTTTTTGGAAAAAAAAAAAAAGACAACAAAATAAATAATAAATAAAACCAAATAAATAATCCAAAAAATCTACACCCCAAACCACAAAATATCTTACAAAATATAAGTAACTAAAATTATGTTCCTATGGACAGAACATCTACATGAAATGATATAGCACCCCAAGTGGAAGGAGGGACCACATGTGGCAAGGGAAGAAGAAAAAGGAGAAGGAGAAAGAAGACAAAGAGAAAAAAGGAGGAGGAAAAGGAAGAAGAAGAGGTAATAATAATAATAATAATACTAGCAGCATTCTCCAACTTCTACTTTAGTTGCCAGGTTGGGTCCCCACAGGGAAGCTACTACTGCTCTCAGAGTTATAGAGATAACTCTGATGTGCTCCTCCTCCTTTGGTCCTGAGTGCCAAATGTAGCAGTCTCCATGGATGACTATCCAGAAGTCTCAATTACTTTTTTTTTACCAGAGGTATTTGCTCAGATAATATGGTAGAGATAGTTGATCCAAAATATTCTCCTAAAAACATGGTTTGCTCCATTCCACAAATAGACATAGCATCCGTGAGAGTAGTAAACTTAAACTCAGACCATAATAGTAGTAAGGTACGTGTGTAAGAAGAAATATATATGACAATAGTTTAACTCACAACACCTGTTCTGGAAGTCCTTTCTGTGCAGAGACCTCATGCAGAACCCTTTGTTTGTCCTTCATTCTCAAAGAGGACCAGTGACATCACGCGGGTGAATTGGAATTAGATTTAAGTGAGGCAGAACTGCACAAAGTCATCAACCTCACTGTCTCATCCAGAGTTGTTGACGTCCAGTGGCAAAACAAAGTCAAGAGATTCAGCGATGGAAGGTAGCCTCAGAGGGGAAGGCATTAACAACTGGGGGTTCTGGGAAAGAAACAAATGATAGCATTATATTAAAAGTACAAATAATAATAACATAATAATGAGAGGTTATTGCATTATAATTGGCTAAGGTCCACTGCATTGAGACTAGAATAATTTGAGCAATAGAAAAAAAAATTCTGAATTACTGTCCCACTGAGGAAATACATTCCAGGAACCTCTTATAGAGGAAATGAAAGAAATATGAAAATCGAAGGACACAAAAGTAAAACTAGTTTTCTCAGTATTTGGGCTGTTTCAGTGAATTTTGCATCAACATTTAAGAGAACTAAAAGTTATTACATACTGTTATCAAACCAGACAGTTTTGCTTCTTGACAATCATGTGATGTCTATTTTAAGAACTGATCATATTGTATTAGGCTAATGTTACAACATATTATAATAATATTAGTATGAATAACATAAGTAAATGTTGCTAATATTATGTACTAATATTTAGTTTTTAATTGTGAGTTGATACAAGAATAGGGTAAACCCTTTTATAGCATTGGATTACCCAGCATCCACCTAGAGTGCATTGATCACATATTTATAAGAGTGAAACTGAGGACCTGAAAGATTATTAAAGTGTCTTCTAAATCTTAAAAGAAGAATGAAATTATGTTTAGTATAGTTTAAATTTATTTAATTTAATTCAAATGATTAAATTAAATTATTTATATTTAGTTGCATTTCAATTCTATGAAAATAAACATATATATATAAATTTCTCTCTTAATAAGAATATTTGATTAACTTAAGTACTCCATTTGATGCTGACTATGCTGATTAAAAGGAAGTTTGTAGTAATATCATAAATGGGAATCCATGACTACACTGAAAATGTAGTAGGAAATATAATATGTATTATCCCTGAGTCAACAAACTGTATATTTGCTTTTTGATCACCCTAATTAAAGTGGATATAAGTGATGTTTTTTCACTGAGCAGAAACATTCTGTGCTTATATATAGGGAAAACAAATATCTGACCTACCCACAATCTTGTTGTTAGTAAGTGGCAGTGCTGATCCTTGAACTCAGTTATCTTTGCTCCAAATCCAGCACTCTGTCCATAATAAACATAATGATCTTGATATTAATATAATAATTACAAAATACAGGATGTCTCAAAAATCTTAGTGCAGTTTCAAGATCTAATAGCTTAAAACTTCACTAAGACTTTTGAGACATCCTATATATAATTATATTCTCAACAGATATAAGATTATATTCCATGATTTAGAAAACCTATTATTGTAGTCCAAAAGAGTATCTATGTTAGAACTTGGGCTAAAATAGTTTATGTTATTAATGAAACCTTTACATATATATATATATATATATATATATATATACACACACACATCTATTCATGCAGTGACATAAAGTATTTATTTGAAGTCTATTTCAATGCACTATTTTACTGAACCTAAAATTGATGATGATGATAATAATAATAACTAACATTTATATAGCACTTACCAGGAACTGTGCTATGTGCTTTATAATTATTATCTCATTTGGTCATCATAACAATCCTGGGAGATGGGTGCTATTATCCTTATTTTACAGTTGAGAAAACTGAGGCAAACAGAGGTTAAATGACACAACTACTAAGTATCTGAGGCCACAGTATCACCTAGCTGCCCTCTAGCATTTAGCTTAAGACAATAATGTTAATGATCACCTTGGCTCTCCAAGGCATAAAATTCATAGATTTTTTTCTCTCAAAACTCTCTGCTAGAAATGTTTCCCAGGCATAAGTACTCTTATCAGTGATGTCAGTGACACATTTTGTATGACCCTTCCCACCTTTCTTCTTGCTGTCACCTGAGAGTTCCCTTCCATATTCAAGAACTTTGAAATTCCCTTATCTGACCAAAATCTGTTGTCATTCCACAGTTTCCCTTGAAACCCCAAACCCTGTTCTTTGTCTTCACTGACCTACAATCTCTCCACCCATCAGTTCTTTTCCAGGTTATCACTGGTACTGGTTATAGGCTCCTTCCTTCCTTATCTTGATCTCTTGGTGAACCTGGTCAACTCTACACTGTCCTCTTCTCTCTAGTCTCCCATCTCCTTATTTCTGCCATGCCATGTCTCAGCCTCTAGGCCTCTTATACCTTCCTCCCTCCAGCTATTGTATGCAATCCAGTGACGCTAGTCTCCTTGATGTTTCAATATTTTCACTGACTGTTCCCCATGCCTGGAATTCTCTGTCTCTTTATCTTCAGCTCCTAGCTTCCTTGGCTTTCTCAGATAAAATCTCACTTTCTAAAGGCCTACTAGGGTCCTTTCTTGATTCATCCATAATGCTAGTCCCTTCTTTCTGTTGATTATCTCCAATTTATCCCGAGTATCTCTTGTTTGTACATAGTTGTTTTCATATTGTCTTCCCCATTAGACTGTGAGCTCCTTGAGAACAGGGAATTTTTTTTGCCTTTCTTTGTATCCTCAGCATTTGGTAGATATTAAATGCTTGTTGTTTGACAGACTGACTTGAAATTTCCACCTCCCCCCCCAAAATGTCCCTATCATTTGTAAATTCAGTGCTGGATCCTTTCTCCCAGTTCTTCTTTCACTGGGAGTACTATTACTCTAATATCTTCTTTCCTGGAAAGGACCTAGAGAGGTAAGTAGACAACTAAAGTTTTTTTTGTAATTATTTTACTTATTTCATTAGATATTTCCCAGTTACATGTAAAAAATGTTAACATTCATTTAAAACATATTTGAGTTCCAATTTCTCTCCCCCACTTCTGCTCCTTCCCCCTCTTTGAGAAGGCAAACAAATTTTATATCAATTATACATGTGAAGTCATGAGAATTGTATTTCCTTATTAGCCATGTTGGAAAGAAAACAGAAATAAAATAAAACAATACAAATAAAGTAGAAAAAAAGGATGCTTTACTCTATAATCAGAGTTCATCAGTTCTGTCTGGATGTAGGTAGTATATTTCGTCATGAGTCTTTTGGATTATTGGATTATTTTCTTGATCAGAGTAGCTAAGTCTTTCACAGTTGATCACTGTTACAATTTTCCTGTTACTGTATACAATATTCTTTTGGATTTTTTTCTTAGGGAGCTCATTGATGGCTTGTTTAATTTTGTTTTCTAAGATATGGTTATTTAAGTATTCTATTTTCTCTTCTGTTAATCTGGACAATTTATATTTTTATAAATATTTATCCATTTCACTTAGATCGCCAGTTTTATTGGCATATAATTGGGCAAAATCATCTTGTAATTGCTTTAATTTCATCTGTATTGGTGGTCCATTCACCCTTTTCATTTTTGAAGCTAGTAATTTGGTTTTCTTCTTTTATTTTTAAAAATCAGATTAACCAATGGTTTATCTATTTTATTATTTTTTTCATAAAACCAATTCCTAGTTTTATTTATTAGTTCAATGGTTTTCTTATTCTCAATTTTATTAATCTCACCTTTGATTTTTAGGATTTCCATTTTGGTGTTTAATTGGAGATTTAAAGTTTATTCTTTTTCTATTTTTTTTAGTTGCATGTCCAGTTAATTGATCTACTATTTCTCTGTTTTATTGTTATATGCATTGAGATATAAATTTTCCCATAAGCACTGTTTTGTCTTCATTCCAGAAATTTTAGAATGTTGTCTCACTATTGTCATTCTCTTTAATGGAATAATCGATTGTTTCTATCATTTGTTCTTTGACTCATTCATTTTTAGGATTAGATTATTTAGTTTCCAATTAACTTTTAATCTATACTTCCATAGCTCTTTATTGAATGTAATTTTTACTGCATTATGGTCTAAAAAGGATACATTTAATATTTCTACTTTTCTGCAGTTGATTGCGAGGTTTTTATACATAAATTTTTGTGAAGGTGCTATGTACAATAGAGAAAAAGGTATATTCCTTTCTGTTTCTTTCAGAGGTCTAACTTTTCTGATATTCTATTAATCTCCTGGACTACTTTTAAATTTATTTTATGGTTAGATTTATCTAGCTCCAAAAGGAGAAAGTTGAGATCTCTTAGGAGTATAGTTTTACAGTCTATTTCCTCCTGTGATTTATTTTCTTTTCTTTTAAGAATTTGGATGCTAAGCCATTTAGTGCATATGTGTTTAGTATTAATATTACTTCATTGTCTATGCTTCCTTTTTAGCAAGATGTAGTTTCCCTGCTCATCCCTTTTAATTAGGTCTATTTTTGCTTTTGCAAAAATTCTTAAATTTAAAAATTGAAATTTTAAAAATTCTTAAATTCTTGAATCCAAAAATTCTTAAATTATCTCTCCTCTAACAATTTTCTGGGTTGTTTTTCCTGTGAGATAGTTCACATTTTCTTCTATTTTTTTCATTCTTTTGACTTTGTTTTATTATTTCTTGATCATGGAGTCATTATCTTCCATTTCATCAGTTAAATTTTTTAGGAATTATTTTCTTCAGTGAATTTTTGTATCTCTTTTTCCATTTGGTCAGTTCTGTTTTAAGGTGTTTTCTTCAGGTTTTTTTTTTGTGCCTCTTTTACCAAGCTGTTAATTATTTTTTCATAATTTTCTTCTTTTGCTTTCTTTTCTTTGCCTAACTTTTCCTTTATCACTCTTATTTGATTTTGAAAATAATTTTTTAGCTCTTCCAGGAATTCTTGTTGGGCTTGTGTCCAATTCACAGTTTTCTTTGAGGGTTTTCTTGTAGTTGTTTTTTGCTTCATTGTCTTCTTCTGAGTTTGTGTCTTGATCTTCCCTCACACCAGAGTAGCTTTTTATGGTCAAGTTCTGTTGTTGTTGTTTGCTCATTCTTCCACCCTATTTCTTGATTTTGAACTTT